GCAAAAAAAAAAAAAAAAAACCAAGATCTGGTGCTAAGTGTGCTCATTGCTACTAGGAGGTCATCAATTCTAGGCCTTTTCATCTGACAGAATGAAAGGATATATATGTGCACAGGATATATATGTGCAAGGATATATATGTGCATAGTAACCTGTGTATATTCACATAACTATAAATATTTTCATATGTAACCATCTATATTAATATTAAGCTAAACATGGGTTTATACTGTTGTCTCCAACTCTAATCTGTTACCTCCTTGTAGAGTACCCCTACTCCTTTCCTTGCTTATCTGTAACCTTTCTTCCACTCCCAATAGTGAGAAACCTGGCTTCTGCCATCTGCCACTCATTTACTTAATTTTTGAATTCTGGTATACATGTATAGCAGTATCAAAATTGTTAATCTTTACCCCTATGAGAAACAACTTTATTAACTAGAGTATAGTCCTCATCTTTTGCCTGTCATCTTACTGCCTCTAAAATATGGAATGCATCACAGATTTTCACGTCATCCTTGTGCCGAGGTCATGCTAATTTTCACGTGTCATTCTAATTTTAGTATATGTGCTGACAAAATGAGCACAATAATCAAACTTTTAACAAAGATGACAACATGACCACTGTAGGAAAGAAGAATATACTGTCTACACTCAGAACCTTTTAACATATCATTTCATTTCATTTACTTTGTAAATGTACTTTGTTGCATTTAAAGGAAAGAAGTCGCCCTCCCAACTTACATAAATCATCATAGTATTGAATTATTTGTGAAATAGCAAAATGTTCATATTTTAAACTGTTTTGAAAAACATCTAGATTCAATACTTTCCTTGTTTACTTCAATAATGAGTAAATAAGAATCTTTGGCAATTAGCAACCTAATTGTTCACATCAGTGAGGGACTACTAATGGAATTTAAAAATCTAAACAGTTTGTCTTTTTAAAAAATTATATTAAGCATCCTTCCTTCCTCATCGTTTTTCCACATTGCTTTCATTATCAGTTTGTAAATTTATGCCTTTTTAAAACAGAGGTAGTATTTAGATAAACTTTCCTCCAGCCCCCTCTCAAAGGTTGCTGATTATGAGCTATGTTGACTTATTTATTAAAATATAGTAATAAGTAAAGAATGTCCTTGCCATCTACCTAACTATACTATCCCTGGCTTCACTTAAAATTTTTTCCAGCTTTATTGAGGTATTATTGGCAATTAAAAATTGTATATGTTTGAGGTTTACAATGTGATGTTTTGATATTTGTATACATTGTGAAATGATTATACAACCAAGCTAATTAATATATCTATTACTTCAAAAGATTCAATTATCACATTACTTGTGATGTACTTTCTTAGCAAATTTCAAGTATACAATACATTATTATTAAATATAGTCACCATGTACGTTAGGTCAGCAATAATAAAAATGATAATATTTTAATTGAAGTACAACTTATAATGGCTGTAAGTTTTTACACATTTAATTGCATATGTTTAACCTTTACCAGAAAAACCCTTATTTTTATTAAATATCATAAATTATGCTTTACTTTACCATTAAAAGATTTTAGATGACCAAATCACATAGGAATATCCAGTTTTTAAAATACAGAGGAATATTTCTGATTGGGAAAGAGAAAACCAATTTTATTTTATTTATTTATCTTTTGCGGTACGTGGGCCTTTCACTGTTGTGGCCTCTCCCGTTGTGGAGCACAGGCTCCAAACACACAGGCTCAACGGCCATGGCTCACGAGCCCAGCCGCTCCGCAGCATGTGGGATCTTCCCGGACCGGAGCACGAACCTGTGTCCCCTGCATCGGCAGGTGGACTCTCAACCACTGCGCCACCAGGAAAGCCCGAGAAAACCCATTTTAAAGTGTGTGTGTGTGTGTGTGTGTGTGTGTGTGTGTGTACTATTTAACTTCTTTCTCTTAAGTGAGCATTGCTAGCTGTAACTCTGTATTTCTTTAAATGTGGTTGGGCTCACCTTAAGTGGAGAAATTGGAAATTATTACAAGACAGTGAATTATTTTACAATGGTTTTCTAAACAATAATCACCAAAATAAGTAGTGATTGAGTCATTACTTTAGCCATATTTCCCAAAAGCTGGGTTCTTTTTAAAGATGAAAAACACATGAATAGTTTTTCTTCATAGAACCTGTTGCCATAAAAAAATACCACAGCCTGGGTAGCTTAAACAACAGAAATTTATTTGAAGGCTGAAATCCAAGATCAAGATGTTGGCAGGTTTGGTTTCCTCTGAGGCCTCTCCTTGGCTCGCAAATGCCAGCCCCGCCTTCTTCCTGCCTCTTCCCGTGGTTGTTCCTTGCACACTCCTGGTGTCTCTTCCTCTTCTAATACAGACACCAGTCATACTGGATTAGGGCCACCCCAATGGCAGCTCTGATCAGCTCATGCAGGCCTTATCTGTATATACAGTTACATTCTGAGGTACTGGGGGTTGGGACTCAACACATGAATTTTGGGGGGACACACATAACATAACAGAACATTTTGTGTGACTTTTGGAAATCAGGCTCTGTCTTGTGTTTGCCATTGCTTTTAATTGTAATTATGAAACTCTTTTATCTTAGAGAATATTTGAAGTTGGACCCCAGAAGCAAAGTGATAGTTGGCAACTGTGTTGTCTTTTATTGCCCTTTCTTGTTCTCTTCCAGAGAAGTGATTCTCTGTCTTTTTCAGGGAGGCATGGACAGCTTTGAGAATCTGATGAAAGCTGTCATGTCAGTTAACTTTGACTAAGGACCTCAAAACTTAGTGGTTACAATAACCTTTTTATTCTTCTTCTTCTCAATATACTGTGCGCTGGCTGGATTGAGCTGGGATTGCTTATCTGTGTTGTCTGGGCTCACCTGTGCATTGTGGTCACCTGGTTTTCAAAGGCTTCACTGATGGATGTGGTGGTAGAGTGGCTGTGGGTAGGGGTGCTGGAGGTAACTGAGCCATGTGATGCTCATCTTCCAGCAGGCAAGCCTGGGCTCAATCACCTGCTTGTGATTGTAGGGTTTTCAAGAGCAGGAAGAGAGAGCAAGCCACAAAGAGTAAGTGCTTTTCCATTCTCTCCTTGCATCACTTTTCCTGATGTCTTCTTGGCCAAAGCAAGTTATATGGTTAAGCCCAGATTCAAGGGGTACAAAATAGAGTCCATCTTTTATTGGGAGGAGTGGCACAGCCATATTGCAAAGGGGCATGCCTGTGGGGATGAAAGGAGTGTGTGGTCTCTAGTGAGATGAAGGAAGAGATGGAGTGATGAGAAAAATAAACTAAGTAAATTCTACTCTTACAAGAGTTTTCCTCTACACTGAGTAGTTATCTTTTGAGGAAAAATGAAGGCTGTCCTCCAGAGAAGTACAGACACTGGCTGTTGAGAGTGAAAGCACACAGGAAACAGGAAATGGAAAAGAGATCTGAGGGGGTGATGGGTGGAGCACTCACAGCACCTGCTTCCTGAGCTTTTGGAAATATGAAATCTTCTGAGTTCTCAGTAGATTAAAACATGAGCCATTTGTGTGGAGCCAAGGACATTTTTTTGTTGAAGACATTTTTTTCCTTTTATGGCATTTTTTAATGTGAGCAGTTGATCGAGTGACAACAGGGGACACTTTTATACACTTAGGACCAGTAGAGCCCTGGAAATCACCCTGGATTCCCCCATTGCCATATTATTGAACTCAAAGACAGTACCTATGGAAATGCGTAACTGAGAGATCTTGAAATCTCACTTCTTCTGTAAATACATAATGTAAATCTTAAACCAGGAATCATTTTCCATAATCTCACAAGAATTGCAACTCCTTGGTTATTCTTAACAGCCAATACTTGCTCTGTACTGATACCAATTTATGAGTTTCTTTATATCTTAGTCCACTGCCCAAGTTAACCATTAATTCCTACTCCATTAATTTAGAGGGTTGAGCACAGTCCTAAATACATACTTTAGAACTGAATCATCAAACTACTTAATTTAGGGTGTGTGTGTGTGCTGAGTGCTTTTAACACTTTGCTGAGTTTCAGTCTACAAATATGAGAGAGGAAACTTCTATCAGTTCAAAATATCCAAGGGAACTACCCACCCCTCCACATTAAAAAAAATGTCAAGCCCATAAACCCTCACAGCTTAACTTCATTTAAAGGCTGACAGCATCCTTATTCAGACTAGATATGAAATTTCAGAAGAGATGAACATGATGTAAGTTGTCATTTTCTGCAACACATTTAAATATGGTCTTGCTTCCTACTTTATAAGCTAGCATTGAATAGCAAAGGGATGGTGCTATGTCAGTCAATTTTGCTCATAATAATGCTGCATAACAAATCACCATGAAATCTCAGTGGCATTCAACAATAAGCATTTATTGTCAGACTCACAGGTCTGTGGGTCTCCTGGGCTGGGTCTCCTTCAGGCTGCAGGTTTATGTGTGCAGATCTGCTCCATGTGTCTTGTGCTGGGCCTAGGCTGGGCTATCCTAGCTACCTGGGATACGATGTTCTTTTGGACAGAAGCTCCTGTAGGGACAAATGGAAGCACTCAACACCTGTTAAGACTGAGGCCCTGATCTGTTGCACTGCCACTTCCACATTCCACGGGCCAACACAACAAAAGCAAAGGCAGGAGTGGGTAGCAAACACTGCCCACCAAGAAGAAGGAGTGGGGTATTCAAAACCTCCAGAATAGAGAGAACTGGGGCCAGTCATTCCGTCTACCACAGAGGGGTAGTTGTTTCTGGAAGTAAAAGGACATTTAATAGGAGTTGTTTATTGACATTTATTGCTTAAATTAGATTTGCTTCGTTGTGCTTCTTGATTCACCTGAGTCTGAGAGAATTCAAAGATACATCTTAATATGTTTACTTGAAATGATGATCGAGTTTCCATTTTTTTCTTATATCTCCAACTATAGCTTGAAAATTGAACTTTTTTCTGTACTGACTTCTCCCTTTTTCATTGTGCATTAACATCCTTATTTTAATTCAGCCCTGAGGTGCTGAAGAGTGAGCCATATGGGGAGAAGGCTGATGTCTGGGCAGCAGGCTGCATCCTTTATCAGATGGCGACTCTGAATCCTCCCTTCTACAGCACAAACATGCTCTCCCTGGCCACAAAAGTAAGCAACCTTGGAAGACAAAAGGGTCTCATGTTGCCAAAAACACCATTCCTTTTCTTCTTAAGTAGAACCTTTGTGATTTTAATAAAACTGTCACTTAAAAGCAGTCATTGTTTTATTAACCACATGATCCAGTTTATTTTTCCTCCTTTCTTCTAAATCTACATCATGTGCTATGGCACATTTCCCCTTATAATTGTCTTCAATTTATCATAGAAAATTATAAAAATAAATATATCAAACTGCTTTTGGTCTTTTTTCTTAATTGTGGTTTGAACTGCCCTCAATCTATCATATTGTATTATCCTACACATCATTTATTATGAATCTGAGGTTAACTTTAACTCAGCTTGAAGAATACAGTTCTATGCTCAAGAACAGTTTAATTAATGCTAATTTTTAATTTGCTGGGATATTTTTGTTTCTGATGAAAATATGTGCATGAAATTATGATGCTTGTTAAGTAACTCTTGTGTCGTGGCCAAGTATCACCACTCAAAGGTACCTGTGGCTCCTTTACTTCCATCATTCTAGTCTGTTTATTTTGCAGATAGTGGAGGCAGTATATGAACCAGTACCAGAAGGCATCTATTCTGAAAAGGTGACCACTATCATCAGCAGGTAATTAGTCTCATAACTTCAAACCTATAGGGATTATCAAGAAATACCTCATATCTACGCAAATTCACTATGTAAATATTAAGAGGAAGAGGAAGGGCTCTCAAATAATCCAAAGCTAGAAAAATATTTGTGCATCACCAGTCATAGGGACCATTTGGAAGCCAACCAAGTGTCCAAGAGGAAGTAGTACATTCACTTGAAATATTATGCAACCATTAGATTGATTATTCAGAAGGCTTTATATCAACCTGTAAAGTAAGTATGATCTGCTAAATAGACATTTCTCCAAAGAAGGTATATAGATGGTCAAGAGGCACATGAAAAGATGTTCAACATCACTAATTATTAGAGAAATGCAAATCAAAACTATGAGGTAATCACCTCACACCGGTTAGAATGGCCATCATCAAAAAATCTACAAACCATAAATGCTGGAACGGGTGTGGAGAAAAGGAAACCTCATACACTGTTGGTGGGAATGAAAATTGATACAGCCACTATGGAGAACAGTATGGAAGTTCCTTAAAAAACTAAAAATAGAACTACCATATGATCCAGCAATCCCACTCCTGGGTATATATCCAGAGAAAACCATAATTTGAAAGTGTACATGCACCCCAATATTCACTGCAGCACTATTTACAATAGCCAGCACATGGAAGCAACCTAAATGTCCATTGGCAGAGGAATGGATAAAGATGTGGTACATATATACTATGGAATATTACTCAGCCATAAAAAAGAAGGAAATAATGCCATTTGCAGCAACATGGATGGACCTAGAGATTGTCATAATGAGTGAAGTAAGTCAGACAGAGAAAGACAAATATCATATGATAGCGCTTATATGTGCAATCTAAAAAAAATGGTACACATGAACCTGTTTACAAAACAGAAATTGAGTCACAGATGTAGAAAACAAACTTATGGTTACCAAGGGGGAAAGGGAGGGGCGATAAATTGGGAGATTGGGATTGACATATACACACTACTATATTTAAAAGATAATAAATAAAAACCTATTGTATAGCATAGGGAACTCTATTCAGTGCTCTGTAATGACCTATATGGGAATGAAGTCTGGAGGAGAGTGGATATAGGTACATGTATGGTTGATTCACTTTGCTGCATAGCAGAAACTAATGCAACATTGTAAATCAACTATATGCCAATAAAAAATTAATTAAAAATTTTTTAATTAAAAAATGAAAACAAAAAAACAAGTATGATCTGAAACTAAGTAAAACAAACAAAATGTACAGGTACTTATAACTATGAAAAAAACATAAAATGTGCATGAATATGGAAAAGACTAGACAAGAACATATGAAACTGAAAAAGGCCATGTTAGATGATAAAATTGCAAGCATTTTTTCCTTTTTATTTTTAAGAAATATTTTAATTTTTCAAAGAAACTCAGAAAGAAGTGCTCCATATATCCATATAGTAGGAGTTTAATGAAAGTCCTTATCCCTATAGAGTCTCAAAGTTCTGCCCCCACAGGGCTTGTCCCAGCTCATCCCTAACCCTTCCCCTCCCACTTTCCCTCTGCTCCCTCCACTCCAACCACAGGGAGCTCCTTGCTACTGCTCTTCCCTTTTCCTGGCACTCTCTTCCCTCTGATACACACAGTGGCACAGGCCCTTACTTCCTCTGGTTTCTGAGGAAACTGGGTCTCTGAAAAATCAGGGCACCTGCCCTGATGCCCCCACAACCTCTCCAGACTCTCTTGTCCCCTTGACCAAGTTCACAGCATCCACCACCCCTAACACATTATACATGTGCATGCAGACTTGTTCTTTTATTGTCTCTCTTCCCCACCAGAATGAAAACTCCACAAGAATGGGGACTTTTTCAGTTTAGTTTATAGCTATTCAGTGCCCAGAGCAATGCCTAGTACAAAGTAGACCCTTAACAATTTACTGGTTATATGAATAAATGACTCATTTACCTGGCTGATCGTTATTTCTGGACCATTTTACGACCTTAAATTGGCCCAAGATTACTACTCTGCCCCATCAAGCTGAGTCAAATCCTTATTGTGATAATAGAAATCCTAGGGTCACCCCAGATGGAAACTTTATCTATCCCCTTGCCCAATTCCTTTAAATCTCAATTCTGTATCTATCCTAGCTCTTGGCACCACCTCTGATGCAATGTAATAAGCATATTTTTATGGCTATGCCCCTTTCCCTTTTATTTTCTCCTTCCAGCCCATTGTTTAGCATTAATAGATACTCCTCACGTTTGTGGGATTATATCTTGAATCTTACCTTGCTCAGCCCAATGCTGCCCTACAATATTAAGTGCCTCAGGCCCAGCTGGGGCTGAATTTCACTAACTGTGGACTCTGAGCAGACAATTTGACTATTCTTTCAGCAGCTCTGTTTCCTCATCTGGTAAAATGGGGATCGTAATAGTACCAACCTTATCAAGCTCATATGATGATTATAACATGCAGATCACTTAGCATAGAGCTTTGGCAAATGGTAAATCTTGAGCAATGTTGGCAGTTATTATTATAAATATTGTGGGAAATGAGCTGAAACCCCTTTCTAAATCATCTAAATTCCGCGTTACACTAGATCCACCCTACTGCTAATGAATCCATACAAATGTATTTAAACTGCTCATCTCCTGTTATCTGCTATTTGTTTTCTGGAAAGTGCCTTAAAAATTCAAGAAGTCTCCAGAGAGGTCAAGACAAGAATACCAGAGTTACTCATTTAATTTCTCCTTTTCTTAGGTATTTGAGTGCCACGAAAAATAGGAGAGGGTAGTGCAGAGAAAAAGTACAGAGACATTATTCTGATTTTGTGGCGTTGGGCAAACAGGACAATAATTTGCTTATGACAGGCTTCCTGGCTATTGGTGTCCACGCCTCTTGGAGCTAGGAGGTTAGTGGAAAAGTCAGATATCAGCATTATCATGAAAAGGTTAAGAACATCAATAGGTTCTAGAATTGAGTGGATTCTAATCCCCACTCTTCCACTCACCTTAACCTTCCCAAGACCCACTTTCCTCATCTGTGATATATAGGTAGCAATAGTAACTACTCATGGCTTGCTTTGAAGCCTAAATAAGATCATGCTTGTGATGGTCTTAGCACAGTTCCCAGCATGTAGTGAGCCCTCAATTAATTTAGGTATTGTTATTAATAATGTTATTATTTATGGAATGAAGTATATAAAAATTATGATAAATTTGATGAAGGATGGTAAAAGGGGCAACGAGAGATTACAGAAGGACTTGGTCTAGTTTGGGGATTTGGGAAAGATTTTCTCTGAAGAAAGGACATGTAATCTGAGACCTGAACTTCACTACTTCTCAAATAGTAAACAGAGTGGAAAAAGCATTTCATAGACCCACATCTCTGAAGGCTTTCCTGAGCAAAAGAGCTTGTTAATTTGAAGAATTGAAAAAAGTTGGAGATGCAGCATGTCAAGTAAGGGAGAGAATAGCCAGCAAATGGACCTGGGAGGCTGACAGGACCCAGGTTGACAGGTTCTACAGGCCACACTGAGGGTTTTGAATTTTTATCTCCAGTATTGAGGAGAGGACTGAAGGGTTATTAACAGATTGAGACATAGTGAAAATTTCTTTAGCAGAGATCATTCTGGCTGATCTCCAGGGAATAGACTGAAGGGAATGAGAGTGGGAAGGAGAACCAGGTTCAGCTGTCCACTGAGAGATGATGGAGGCTTTGACTAGAGTGGTGGTGTTGATGGAAAGAAGTGGGTTGTTCCCACTGTGGGCTGGAATTTGAGTCAACAAGTTTTGGAGTACAATCGTAAGATGTTTAAAAAATACTTCAGTTAACTGGGAAAATGGAATGGCATCGAGAATATGAAAACAATTGGATTTATTATGTGGAACCTCAGCAAATGGAGCCAAGACCATGGAATGGAAGTTCTGGGGTGGGGCCAAGGTGAGCTCGCCATTAGGAAGTGTATGTCAGAATTAGAGCTATCCACAGTGGAGCAGGCTGCTGATGGATGGTGAGTTCCCTGTCACCAGAGTGTTTAAGAGGATGAATGAACACTATTAGGGGACTCCAGATGAAATGTTCTGAGTACACTTTTAATTCAAAATACTAAGGTGCCATAATTAGTAGGAAATGACAATTTAATTTTAAAGCTGACTACAAATTAAGATTGCAGTATGCAGCCTATAACAGATATAGTTTTCATTTAAAGTTATGCAAGACAGTGGGTTCACATTGTGAAGTTTTATCTTTAGAAAATTTGACATAAAACCAAAATCAGTTGTGAGTTGCATGCAATTACATACTTGAATTGCTTTGGATTTTCAGTCTTTAAAAATTAAGTTTCAGGGACTTCCCTGGTGGTGCAGTGGTTGAGAATCTGCTTGCCAATGCAGGGGACACGGGTTCAAGACCTGGTCTGGGAAGATCCCACATGCCTCGGAGCAACTAAGCCCGTGTGCCACAACTATTGAGCCTGCGCTCTAGAGCCTGCAAGCCACAACTACTGAGTCCACGTGCCACAACTACTGAAGCCCACATGCCTAGATCCTGAGCTCTGCAACAAGAGAAGCCACCGCAATGAGAAGCC